AAAGATTTAACATGCATATCAGTAATTCTTAAAAAAAACATATTAACAAATTATTTCTTTAGTACTACTACAAGTCTACAACAAACATGGAAAGAAATTAGTGTTCAAAACATTGGTCTAATCAAATTCCATAATATCATAGTTTTTATTTGTTTCACCAAATCTGCAGTCTAACTTTGGGAATCAACTATTTTCAATATCTCTATATACATTGTAGATATTTTATCCCACCATGCTCGAATTTAAGAGATTAAGAGGAACAAAATTAACATATAAATTTAAAATAGAAAGAGAGCCACCATCGATTTAATAATACAATTCGGTTATGGGGAGATGCTTAATTAAGTATTGAATCATTTTCATCGTATTTGAAACCCTACTAGTCTAACTCATGCTCGATAAAGTCCAGATATATATAACATTATCACACATGCCATGTGACAATTTTTAGCCGATGATGTGGACCTTAATTCTTAATATTGATTAAGAAATTATTGGTCAGTTTCCCAGCTGATATCAAACAAGTCATATGATTTGGGTCACTTTCATAAAGAAAAGTCTACCGATTTTATGTTGTTCTTCAACACTAACAAATAAAAAGTATACAGACCTATATGCATACGTAGTGAGTAGTGTGTATGTGTATATATGTATCTGTTATTCTTTTTTTTTTCGAAACACGTATCTATTATTCTATTAATCATTCTCAATCTTAAAGTTTTGACATACCCACGAGCAATTCACTTGCCATGTCTTCTTCTTTTTTTTTTGTTTATATGTAATATGTGTATAAAATGTGACAATGAAGTGTGTATATGTGTATACATGACATATCTAATCAAGTGTTTAAGTTTATGTAGATATGATATATATTATGAAGTATCTATGCATGTATATATATAGTATTTTAAGCATCCATGTATTCCTGAGAAACGTAAATAATTCGACATGGTGCAGTTCTTAGTATATTTTATAAGAAAATATCAATATTTATTACACTTTCTACTGCACCTTTTTATGGCACCCAACATTTTTTAACAAACCCGTGGGGCTTGCTTCCTATATATTCTAGTTTAATCGCCTCCCTGCACAATCGCATTTCCAATAGATTTGTTTTGAAGTTATTTTCCATTTCATGAATATAAATGTATTTCAACTAGTTGACAAAATATCATTGCTGGATAATTATAGGCTTTGATTGGTAATGCATTTCATCTGTGGTAAGAAGTTTACTATCTTGTATGAATTCAGTCACCAAAATCTACATGAAATGGTACAAAATGATGGTACACAAACAAAAGAAATGTTAAAAATGATGTTGCACTAAAACTTCCAAAAAGAGTGGTATGTACCACCTTAGATACCATACCACTAGTTGACCAGAAAAAAAAAAGAGATACCATACCACTCAGTAGTACAGCTAGAGAATGTTCACAGGAACATCTATGCCTTTAACCGAATATGAAAATTAGAGTAACTGAATTTTAGAGTCTAATTTGAGGGTTATAAATACTTTAGGTTAATTTTACTAAAAATTCAATAAATTCAGGACCATGCAATTTATATATAATATTTTGTAAAAACTAGGGAACCAAAACAAATGTTAATTTGATCTAGTGGTGTTTATAACCGGTCTTACCAAAATTACATTGTTCAATAATCACCAGTAATTAAATTTTTGAGATTGAATGTGGCTATAGTAAAAACAACATTGTGTATTTATTTATACATTATCATTACTTAATACTAAAGTTAAGAAAATTATATGAAAATCAAATTCTGATCTAATTTTACTAAAAAATAAGATTTAAATTTTGAAATCTTATATGACAAAAACAAAAAGAGATTCCATTCCACTCATAGTAGTTCTGCTAGAGAATGTTCACGAGAACATATATGCGTTTAGCGAATATGAAAATAATATGATGACTGCATTTTAGAGTCGAATTTGAGGGTTATAAATATTTTAGGTTAATTTAACTAAAAATTCAATAAACACATATATGTTTCCGTGGTGAAATTTATATATAATAGTTTTGTAAATTCGGGAACCAAAACAAATGTTTGATTCAGTGGTGCTCATAACCGGTCTTACCAAAATTACATCGTTCAATATATTTAAATTTTTGAGATTGAATGTGATAATAGTAAAAACAACATTGTATATTTATACATTATTATTATTTAATACTAAAGTTAAGAAAATTATATGGAAATCAAAATTTGATCTAATTTCAGTCAAAGGATAATATTTAAAATTTAAAATTTTATATCCAAATGATTATGTATATATATATATATATATATATTCAAATACTTGATGCAATTTAACTCTCTCTCATTTATAAATTTTAGTAGTATATAAAATAGTATCATTATCTAAATTAAATTATTTCAACCAATGATAAAAGTTGCTTAAGGTAATGTAAAAATATATAATAAAAATATAAAATATTACTTAAAATGGACTAAATTTGCATGATCTGTTATTCTATTCACAGAAGTTTTCTTTTTTGTTTGGTAGCATGTGTCTTTTTTAGATCAATCAATAATATTTCAGGAATTTATTTACATTTGTCCTTAACAATAAACCAAACAAATTAATTACTAGCTTCCAATTTATGCTTGGACCCAAAAGCTGTCGCCTCAGAGAGGAATTGGACCCGCAGTTCCTAAATGTTGCCGCATGTCTTTCTCACATCCTATGCTTTAATTACTTGGACAGTTTTAGTTAATCTCTTCATGCCTCTACGATCCTATCTTTAATATTCTAATTAAAGGATCCACTTAGAAGAAGCTAAGCCTTTCATAAGTTCATATACATCATCCGTTATAGAATATTTACAGTTTTAAAACCAAAACAAGCGGTTTAAATAGCCTGATAAGCTTTAAAAATGGATTCGAAGGGAGTAGTAATGGGAGTGATGTGGCAAAGATCCGTACAATGAATGGACCCACAAGATACAGTAAGTCATTCGATGTAGTTTAAGTTGGTTCATAGTCGGGATATAGTTAAATTGGTGACCAAACACTTTGCTAATAGCTTGAGAATATATAAGTAACGGAACAGTTGTTGTCTTTACGAACCAACGAGGAAAGGAATATCTATATGGGATTTAAAGGAAAACAAGAGTTCAGAGGTCAGCTTATGTTTTGTCTCTTAGATGGCACAATTACGACTTTGTCCCTCTTCCACCAAACAATCAAACCATTTTCTCAATATTTCAAGATGTTAGCGTATGATTAATTAAAACTAAACTTTAGGGAAACTGATCTATAATCCAGAATGATGTTTGCACTTGAAAGAAAAAAATCATAAATACTATATTCGAAATATATTGATTTAAAACGTGTTTTTAGGATAGTCAAGGAGAGAAGCATATGTAATATGCCTAACTGAATCATATGCGTTATGCAGATTTATGTTTGCCCATTTTACTCTTAAGCTTATGGAAAATTGATTGTGCATGAAAATTAAGCTACGTCTCCATATACTTCCCATTCATTTAAATTCTCAAAACATTAAAGGTTCGTCTACGCTTCTTTTAACTGGAGTGATTCCGTTTTTCGAGCTCGTTTCAGAAATTAAAGCTAACACGTATGTAGAAAATGAATACATTGATCATAAAACAAAATAATACTTTGACTGTATAATACGATCAAACAAGGTATTCAAAACGAGAATAAGATTTTATATCAAAGTGTATTATGGACAAACAAAATAAGCCATGTCACAGTGATCAAATCCACATGATTTGAGAGAAGTTAAAAATTTGTGTATCACCACACAAAATCTAGGAGGTGGAGCGGAATCAAACAAAAATTAGGTAAATGACATCTCATATTTACATTAATAGAATCAACCAGACCCAAACCTAATATATAAACATTTTTTCTTGCATCCAAAATTAAAATCTTGGAACGTAACATAACATGAAGCCACACAAAGCCAAATACATCCTAGTATATATTTGGGTCCCTTCCAGCGTTTAGATCGTCTTTAATGATAGTTAGGCATGTCTATTGTCAGTATATATTATATTTGTACAATACTAAATTACTAAGGATTAGAAACAATAAACTGATCATAATACGTACCCTTATGGCTAGTGTTAATATTTTTATTATGTCATTTTCTGAATACAATTCGCATAACAAAAGTGTTCTTTTAGTGGGAAAGTGTTCTTTTGAACATAAAAAGACTTAACATGTAATGGTCACATGCTAAAGTCGAAATAAGACTATTTTAAATTTCAAGAACTAATACATATTATAGTTAGATAAAAATATACTTATTATTGTTAGGAATTAGTCAACTTATACTCTTCAAATATGACCATTATGAATAAATTGTCATCCAATGAATGAAACATTTGCTCCTAAGCTGAAATCTATCCTTAGATTATCTATATGTATGGTCAGACGGTTTAGATATTCATGTTACATGTACGACAAGCGAGTTTGTCTATCATTGGTAGACCAGCCTTTTAGAGATTGGCGTGGATCTCAGCTTAAAACACATCAAGTTTAATCGAATTTGCCTATTACCGATCAACCAGTTTCTTAGGAATTGATTTGAGTTTCGTTTTTTTTTATTTTTTATCAAAAGGGCATCAGTTTAAAACATCCCACGTTTAACAAAAAAAAATAGCCTGGCTTTGTTGTAAAAAATGTTGCAGTTTGGTCATTAATCTAATAAATGACAAACAAAAAAGAACTCCCAAATTTTAAATCCATATCAGAAGCAACAAGAAGATAAATAAAACAAAGGGAAGGAAGCTACTGTTGCTGCATCGTGAGGCACGTGCTACACGTGTCACAACCGCGTACACCATCAAGGTCTCTTTGCTCTCTTTGCGTTGAAAAGTGTAATCAAGTAAACAAAGTCTTAACACAATAATTAACCACACCGTTCAAAAGAGCGTTTTACTGTTACAGCTTTGTTTCTAATTAACATTCCACACGCATAAATACTCCACCACCAACTCTCTCGCCTCTCTCTAAACCCGAACACCTCTCCTTCTTCCATCTTTCTCTCTCAACTTCAAAAACTTATTTCTCTAAAACACAAACACTTCTTTCAAATTCCTATTTTCTACACATTTCTCCAATTTGATTTCCGACGATGTTACTAGAATCAGACGGCGACATGAGCTTAGAAACAACAAACTCACCAATTAGCAGCGGAACAGAGAGCTGCAGCAGTTTCAGCCGGCTATCTTTCGACGCGCCGCCGTCAACCACCGTGAAAGTCCCCGAGGAAGAGAGCTGCCTCTCTCTCAAACCTCACCGATCCTCAGACTTCGCTTACACAGAGATCCGACGAAGGCGGAAACACGGCCTAACGTTCAGAGACTTTCGCCTCATGCGTCGCATCGGCGCCGGAGATATCGGAACCGTTTACCTATGCCGTCTCGCCGGAGACCAGGAGGAGAGCCGGAGCTCGTATTTCGCCATGAAAGTTGTGGATAAAGAAGCGCTCGCGATGAAGAAGAAGGTGCACAGAGCAGAGATGGAGAAGAAGATCTTGAAGATGCTCGACCATCCGTTTTTGCCGACTCTTTACGCCGAGTTTGAAGCTTCGCATTTCTCTTGCATCGTCATGGAGTATTGCTCCGGTGGAGACTTGCATTCTCTCCGTCACAAACAGCCTCACCACAGATTCTCCCTCTCCTCCGCCAGGTAAAAATTAAATAAAATTTATATTATTTTTATATTTAAAAAAATAAAATAACATAAAATTCAGACAATGTGTACGAACTTGCATGCATTCTTCTGTAATAACAGACCTGTTCTAATCATGTCGGCCTTTTCAGTTCTTTGAATATGTCATGAAAAGTCTATTTCAACCAAATAATTATGATTTTCTTTTTCTGTTACATGTTTAACGAATTATGTCAAAAAAAAGTTTATATAAATATTATTTACATGTTTATATAAATAACTGTATTTTTTTGTAATAATGTTGTAACAGATTTTACGCGGCTGAAGTTCTAGTGGCGTTAGAATATCTACACATGTTGGGCATCGTCTACAGAGACCTCAAGCCTGAAAATATCTTAGTTAAATCCGACGGTCACATCATGCTCTCTGACTTTGACCTCTCCTTATGCTCCGACTCAATCGCCGCCGTTGAGTCCTCCTCATCCACGCCGGACCATCAACCACACTCTTCTTCCCCGCGTCGACTCACTCGTCTCGCCAAGCTTTTCAACCGCGTCTTACGGTCCAAAAAGATTCGAACGCTAGAACCGAACCGTCTCTTTGTGGCTGAACCGGTTACCGCCCGGTCCGGTTCCTTCGTTGGAACTCATGAGTACGTGGCACCAGAAGTCGCCTCGGGTGGGTCCCATGGAAACGCAGTTGACTGGTGGGCCTTCGGAGTATTCTTGTACGAGATAATATACGGTCGGACACCGTTCGCCGCGCCGAGTAATGACGTCATCCTACGTAACATAGTGAAAAGACCTTTGAGTTTTCCGACGGATTCTCCGGCGACGATGTTTGAGCTTCACGCGCGGAGTTTGATCTCCGGGTTGCTTAACAAGGATCCGAGTAAACGGCTCGGGTCACGGCGAGGTGCGGCGGAGGTTAAAGTGCATCCGTTTTTCAAAGGCCTAAATTTTGCGCTTATCCGTACGATGACTCCGCCTGAGATTCCCTCCGACGTCAGAAGACCGAAGAAGTCGGCGACGTTTAGTGGTAGGAGTAGTTGCAAACCAGCGGCGTTCGATTTCTTTTGAAAAAACAACGTTAGAGATTAGCGTTAGCATCACGTGTTAGTCGGTTCAAGTCGGTGCCAGGTTTTTAGCGACTGCCTTGTGCTGTTTTAGCTGTACATATTCCCTTAATGATGTCCTTAATTTCTTTTAAAAATCGTTTATCTGAGTTTCAATATTTTAAATCAGATAAGTTCTCACGCGATTTATATAACAAATTTGATAAATCTAGATTAATATATTCATAGCTATTAAATCTTAGGGAGCTGGGAACATCTTAGCATCGTAACATGATGTATTGATGTCTAATTAACGACAGTTTATCGGTATAGCATTATATTATTGACCATTTTGTCAACATATCTTACCGGCATGATTAAAATTTACATCGCAATACTTTATATTATACAACTCGTGGCCACGCCTAAACTTTTTAGTTCAACGGGTATAAGAAAATAAAAGGAAGATTCCTATTTTTGACAATTGGTTCACACTGAAGTCATATTTTGTTATTTGTTTAAACCATAAGGGGGTTTTATCCTTATAAGAGTGGTAAAATGCTTTACGAGTCCTGACCATTTTCAAACGAAGAGACCACAAAAATTATTTTACGGAAGTGAGAGGAATTGTTCTGTCTTGGTTTTAAAGTATGAGACGAGATCCTTCTAGTAAGGTGGTTTTATTTTGTTCCATGCCATAAACGGATCTCATCACCTAAATTCACTTTACCGTGGATACCAAAAATTTTGTATGATCAGATTCTATATTCGATATTTAAAACCCTGTAATTAGAGCAAGTAGGCGAATAATTCAGCTAAAATTTTTGGACATGTTGTAAGCATGTTCTCAACTTCATCCATCGCATAATGTGGCAATCTAGAAACTAACTAAAATCTTCTTACCTTTGGATTGCGTAAAGAGGAATGGTCCGAATAAAGAGTAACAAAGAGTTAGATAGATGAGATGTTTTGTCTATCTTCTGTAAGTAACAAAAACAACTTAGGTACTTGCTCTAGTTATGCATTCACTACGTCGAGACTTAACGAAGAAAGTACTTATTCAACCAACCAACCAACCAACCAACATTGCTTAATTTTTCTACCTCTCTTGTTAAATGTATATATGTATGCATGAATAGTGTATTCACATTAACCTAGACCAAATATTATCTTAACACGTGTTTCTCTAGAGTCAAGAAAATCTACATAGTATAATGCTAAGTGCAAACAAATAAGTGTATTTATAAATGTTCGGTCTGATGAGATTGTTCTTTATATAGTGTTCTAAATATAGATAGTTATATACTATAAAGGTCTGTCTATACCGGTATGATTGTTCTCTTAATTTTACCAAGCAAGAAAACAGAGTGTTAGGAGAAAAAAGAGAGAGAGTTTAGTAGCAGGCACTGAAATTAAATGGAATGATTTCATAATAAGAAACGAAATAACCACATCAATGTGAAAATGGTGACTAATACTGTAGTTACTTGAAAGGAGTGAAACAGAAAACAATAAAGCTCAAATGTCAAATGATTAGACAATTCAATACAAATTGTTTTGGACAATGCATATATGTTTTGTCTCTCCTAAAATGTGTAAACATGGACCACACACAAGATTACCACCACGTTGTACCGTTGTTAATTATAATCAGTTCTCGGCACCAGAAGCTTCAAAATAACTAGATAATGATGAATTTTACTGATAACAATTTGAAAAAATAAAATAATATTAACTCAAAAGTCAAAGTCTTCTTTTGGGGAGAGGTGTTTTCTGCAGAAACCTAGGTTAACATAAATCTCACTTGCCTACGTGGACCCAAGAAACTTCCCACTTAATTAGGAACAGTATTTAGAAAACTGGATAACTAGTTAGCCCTCCTTTTTCTTGATGTGTGTGATACATACTGGCAAATGGTATCAAACTTCTCGCTGCATTTCTGTTACCAATGTTTTACTTGCAAACGGTTTTGGCCCGAGAAGTGATACCTTCTATGTTTATTTGTTAATCTCCTTACAACTCAAACACAATGGAACAACGTAGGTGATTGGATGTTTTATATGTACAATAAATAACTATATATTAAATCATGAGACTAATAGTCACGAACAAAAGTGTTTCATGACATAAGATAGGAATGAATTGAGTATACAATAATTGTAATTAATAATTGAGATCCTAAAGAATAACATGCTTTGTTTAGGTATTAATGTATAAAAGAAAGAAGTGTGACAACACATGGGATGTACCCAACAGCACAAGGGACAGCTTCACCAGACTGATTTATGCCACTGTCCCGCTCTTGTCCTCTCTCTCTCTGCCCCCCACCACTCCTTTGGTAATATTACTATATAGTAGTGTGATTTAGTTTTAAATTCAATCTCAATGCAATAATATGAAACGAATGCAGCAATCGTGATCACCATTACCATGAGAAAAAATTGGTATATAAGCAATGGTACATCCCCATTAAAGAGGAAAACTTTTCAACTACTGAAATTTATTGTTCATTTGTTTGTGTGCGTGCATGCACATCTGGTGAATGCCTATGACATGTCCAAATTTCCTCTGTACTCGTGGAGGGGTTTATTCTCCTAGCAGTAGTAAAACAGCCTCCACAAATACATGTAACATTCTCACACACATTACACATCTCTCTCTACTTTTACTCCATTTGTTTAGCAAAAGAGGACTACGCGCCACGTGGCGGTTAGGACATGTCGGCACTTGTGAGATTCTGTTCCAGTTACTTGTGGAAGTGAATTATGTAGGAGAAAAGGTTGACGAGAATTCCAGTTTGCCATTCTCCATTTATTAACGGTCACAAAAGCATCAAACATACAGTTTTTTTCTCAGTGCTTTTGAGAGAAACGACGCCCCATAGAGAGTCTCGTTGCACGAATAGTTTTCAAAGGTGACGTTAGACGCGTGCGGGACACTGAAACTTGTGCCAAGTCAGACCTTTGTGGTTATAGTCTTACGTGGTCTTTCTCTGCAACAATTCAGAAGCAAAAAAAAAAAAACAAACTTGGTCCATGGATAATAATAAATAGTTATCGTCGTTTTGTGAGTTTAAACAATTAAACTGAGGACCATGAAGATATTATTAGGTTAAAACTAGGCCTGTGATAAATACAGTAATGTCAATGATGTGTCTGGTCAGACTCATTAATATTGGTTCAGACCACATTGGCACATTATCCTATTGACACTCACCTTGCGTCCAAAATCCAAATCAAATTTCCTTTCTTGTTTTCTTCGTTAGCACAGGCACAATGCAAATAATATAGGAGGACCGTATTTAGTTTATGATATAATTGTAAATTTGTAGTTAATCAAGGAGATCACAGCTTCTAAAGGTCTAACCTCATTTTTTTGCCTTCTGTTTTTTTTTTTTTCTTCTTCTGATTTCTTGGCTTTAGCTATATGACTGACTGATGTATTCGTATTAACACATTTCTTTTGCTGGTCACCTGTTTTTACAGTGTATTATTTTACTGGTCCATTGTAGAACCCACATAATTCTTCTATTATGAGTAAAGACAAAACTATATATCATAACTCAAAACTAAGATTTGTCTGTATTCGAATTTCAGTAAGTTTCTTGTTTTTTGTATCATCATTTCGTTTTTAAAATAGTTTATTGGATTATAGATTTTAAATGATAGAACCCAATCGAACATTTTGAAAATTATCTAAAGATCTAAGGAAAAGTAATAAATTATATTGATAGTCTAGTTAAATGTCAATTCGAACTTCTTGTTTTCTTTGCAGAAATTTGTTAGAAAATTAAGACATAATTGAAAAAATATAATTAATTATAATTGTGGTAAATTTTCTCTAAAAAGTAAAAACCACTGTTTTCAACATTTCCATAACCATAGAAGACATCTGGTTGTTTGTTCAAAAAACTAAAAGGAAGACATCTTGTTTTGTTCTTGCGAGTGTTTGCTACACAATCAATAAAGTTTCTCCAACAGGCTTTGAGCATTCAATTTCATAAGGTCCATTATTAGTGGACCTTAATTAGAGCCCATGTTTTTTTCTTCACAAATTCGCTGTCTTACACCTGTACATGGAGCGATTAGCTAATAAGCTCAGTATAGATATTCAAATGTGTTTAGATTATTAACATTCTTGGTTTCTTGCAGTATATCCTGGGGTGGGGATCCAGTTTATCCGACAATCAACTACATTTAAGCTCCAGATGCTGTAATGGATTTCAGAGGACCTGACTTTCATGAGTCAACACCAAACATGCTCTCTTATCTGAAGGAGATTAGTCTAAAATACTTTACTGTTCTTTTGTCCTGATTTGCTTTCTTTGTTTCGGTTTGATCAGAATGACAAAGTCATCTTCGGAGAGATGCACAAAAAACTACTTGCAAAAGATTGAATTTTGAGACCGTTATTTTTGATGATTAAAACGGTTTCATAGACAAAAAAGGAAAAAAAAACAATCGAGATTCAAACAAACCAACATACACTTATCTTAACATCTTACCAAAAAAAAAACCCAAAATACACTCTGAATAATAGATTATGTAAACATAAAAACAAAACCTTTATCAGACCTATCTATCTCCACGGTGATGATTCATATTAAAAGCTCTCAACTCCCTAATACTAAAGATTAACCATCTCATTCTTTTTAATAGAATTTTTTTTCCATATACAAATCATGTGAAGACATTTTCTTAAAATATATATGTTGACCATTATTTTAATGATACATATACTAAATGATGATTCATTGTTTGCTATAAATATAAAGCATCTAAATTTAACTTACAACCATAAAAATGATGATTCATTGTTTGCTATAAATATAGAACATCTAAAATGATGATTCATTGTTTTAGGGAGTGTTATTTGATCATTTATTTTAACCTCTATTATTAAAGTTTATAATCTATACAAGATTTAACCGTTGGTGTTATTTAAAATGAATTTCTGTATGTCAATTTTCTAAATTATTTACAATTTAATTTGAATTTAATTTCAAATAATTTACTTATAAAAATATGTGGAATTTTATTTCAAATGACTTTATATGCAAACATTTTCAAAATTATTTGGTTTTGAATAATATTAAATTCTAGTGACTAATTTGAAATATAAAATTGAATTAACACAAGATTTTGAAATCTATGATGCATGCTTAACAAATATAGATCTAATAACGTTAGATTTTGAAACATAATTGAAATTATTAGTTGAATAAGAAAAGATTATGGTTGAGCTCTTTTACAATACATCATTGAATAGCATATAATCAATCAAACTTAAATTTCTAAATGTTCACTCTCATATTCAACATGATCACATTTAGCTTTCAACAACACTCTAATATTAAAAAAACATAATGAGTTCTGATTTGTTTAAATGAACATTTTAAATTGAGAGAACTTTCAAATTATATATATGGTACTGTTGGAAGCTAATGAGAAAAAATGGGCGACACTAGTACACAATCCAAAGGTATTATAATTGTAACTTGTATCTATAAGATTTTATAAACTGAAACTATTTTATAAGATCTTGAAAATTATCTGTTTGTAGAGATGTCTATTACAAAAGAAAACAAATAAGTATAAGAAAATAAAAATAGAAACAAATGCATTAATATTTTATAATGATAATAACAATTATTTGACAAAATTTAAAGCAATCATTCTAAAATAAAATCATGGATTTAATGTTTAGAATTCATTGATCACAAGTTTTAGGGACTATTATTTCATCCTTGATTGTAACTTCTATTATTTAAGTATTATAATCTACAAGATTTAACAGTGTATGTTATTTAAAATGAATTTATGACTGTCAATTTCCTACAATATTTACACGTTACTTTGGATTTAGTTTTAGATAAATTACTCATAAAAATTGAAGAAATTTATTTTAAATGACTTCATATGTAAATATTTTCAAAACTATTTAGTTTTGAATAATTTTAAATTCTAGTGACTAATTTGAACTAGAAATTTGAACAACATGCGAGTTTACAATCTATGATGCATGATTAAATTATAGATCTAATAACATTAGATTTTGAAACATAGTTTTAAAATATTAGTTGAAAAACAAAAGAATATGGTTAAATCTTGTCTCTTTTAAACTACATCATCAAATAGCATAATCAATCAAACTTAAAATTCCAACTGTTCACTTTCTTATTCAACATAATCACATTTTGCTTTCAACAACACTTTAAAATTTAAAAAAACTAATAGAATGGGTTTTTGTTTTGTTTAAATGAATAATTTAAATAGAGAGAACTTTCTAATTATATATATGGTACTGTTGGAAGCTAATAAGAAAAAAATGGGCAACACTAGTACAAAATCCAAAGGCATTATAATTATAACTTGTGTCAAAAATATTTTAAACTGAAGCTATTTTATAAGATTTTAAAAATTATTTGTTTGTAGATGTCTATTACAAATTTTTTTTAAGAATATAAATATAGAAACAATGCATTCATATTTACAATGACAATATCAATTATTTGACAAAATTTATAACAATCTTTAAAATAAACTCACTGATTTAGTGTTTAGTGTTTAGTATTTCATATATCACAAAATTTTAGGGAATGTTATTTAATCCTTGATTCTAACTTCTATTATTAAAGTGTTATAATCAACAAGTTTTAACAGTTGATGGTTAATTAAAATGATTTTATGTGTGTCAATTTTCTAAATCATTTACAATTTACTTTGGATTTAGTTTTAAATAATTTACTCATAAGAATCTAATCTGAAGAATTTTATTTCTAATGACTTTATATGCAAAGATGTGCATTTGAATAATATTAAATTCTAGTGACTTATTTAAAATATAAAATTGAATAACACGAGATCTTATAATCTGTGATGCATGATTAACAAATATATAGATCTAATAACATTAGATTTTGAAATATACTTTTAGGTTAATTAGTTGAATAAAAAAATAATAGTTGATTTAAACTCATAAGAATCTACTCTAATGAATTTACTCATAAGAATCTAATTTGAAGAATTTTATTTCTTATGACTTCATATGAAAAGATTTGCATTTGAATAATATTAAATTCTAGTGACTAATTTAAAATATAAAATTGAATAACACGAGATCTTATAATCTGTGATGCATGATTAACAAATATATAGATCTAATAACATTAGATTTTGAAATATACTTTTAGGTTAATTAACTGAATAAACAAATAATAGTTGATTCAAACTCTTTTGAAATACATCATTGAACAACATAATCAATCAAACTAGAGTAACAACAATATGATTCCAAATGTTCACTCTCTTACTCAGCATAATCACATTTAGTTTTCAATAACACTAATGTTTATGATTTTATGAGATGAACCTGATGAACCACCACTTCAATGTATGCAAGATATACATCATGAGATTACACATTTGCCATTTTGGAGAGCTCATCATTATCGCAATTCTAAACTTTACTCCGTCAATTTTAGGTGTTTCGGTTTTATCCATTTCTCTAAACTAAACGAAACTCCTTTAGGTTCTCCCATTACATTTGATTCACATGAAGTAATCAAGATTTGGTTAAATTTGTCTACACGCCATAGACCTTCTGTCTCCATTGGAATTAATGCTGGATTAACTACTTGAAACATGAGATTGATTTACCAACATTGCCGATGATGTTCCTAAATGTTAATCGGAGGCTGGTTGACTTGTTCGACGTCTCCGTCATTGGCACCAGCTCCATCTCCGTTCATCGTGCGAAGAGAGTAATTCATAGTCGACTGATTTTGGAAAAATATCTATATAACTTGAGTGATTCATAGAGTGATTCCTAGTCAAGAATTCAAAATTTTCTATTTAGCTCTAAAAAATTGTTTTTGGGCCAGCCCATCTTAGTTTGCCATTTTTATTTAAGAAATTTTTATATATTAGTATTTTTGCATTTGCTTTTATAACCATATATATAAATTTGTTTTATAATTTAGAATAGTAAATTTATTTGGAGGGTTATGTAATTTACAGTGGAAATAAATGTTATTGATAGAGTTATATTTTTTAAAAAAGTTTATAAAAAAGATTTGGTTAAAATTCTTCTTCTTGATGAGTGTGAATAGTGCCAGACATCTAAAAATCATTTCAATCGTCTCCAATTTCGAGAACTTTAGAATATTTTCATTGAAAATCTAAAAAAAAAAAAATCTATCCAAAAATTAATTAAAATAATAAAAAATGTATGAAAAAGAGTGAGGTGGGTCTCTCAAAATAAGAGATTTTCAGAGCAATCCTAATGAAAAATTCTACATCTGAATTCTCGTAATACATATATATATGTATATATATTTTAATAAATTATGTGGTTTTTAATTTTACGGTACCCAAATTTAATATTTTGAGTTGGATTTTCTATAAAATTAAGAATTTTATAATGAAATATTAATATAGACATACACATATATGTAACTAAACAAGTCGGCAGACAAATTCTTTTGTTTAACATATGTACTCATACTATTCAGCTATAGAAATTAAATTTATATGATCTCATTAATTACCAACTCTAACGACAAATGCAAATAAAGGCAAAGTAAAAATAATATAGGGTTGACTAGACATGCCGTACTACGACAAAACAAAATTAAACAAAACTTTGTTGTTTGATATCTCTATTGAACCGTTGAATGAAATCTTCGACTCGTCTGTTCAACTCCTCGTTCGACATCTTCGCGAATTCTTCCGATTCTTCTCTTACATTCTCCCACTTCTCCTCCGCCTCCTCATGAGCCTTCTTCTTCTCCTTGTGAACAACCATCCATTTCGAGTTAGCGTCAGATTTGTTTCGAACGTATCTTTTATGTATACGTTTGATCTCTTGATGACGACGTTCTGAGCGTGCTTTATCAGATTTGGTTCTCCCGTACGGTTTAGGGTTCACCTTCTTTCTTGTGTTGCAAGTTTCCCCGTTACTAATGTTGTGCTCAGTCGTTGGCTCATGTTTTTGGATAAGTTTGCTTCTCGGGATGTTCTCGCTTACGACTTGTAATGTTTTCTCAGGCACTTCAGCTTCACTGTGAAGCAAGTAACGTGGTATATCTTTTGCTTTGACTGCTTTTTCTTGTTTCTTGATTTCTTCCGCTACACCCATCTCATAATCCGAGTTTTCCCGTCTATCTTTTTCTCGCGCGGCCGCGTATTCTCCGTAAAAGTCGTGGTTCTCTCTCTCAGCGAATGCGTCGTAATCTGCCGCTATGATGAGGACAAGTGCGTTTGAGATGAAGAACAAGATCTTTGTGTTGTTGAAAATCAACGTAGGAGGCACGTCAAGGACGTAGAAGATCAAAATGTAGGTGAAGATCGATAAGAGGATCGGGAGAAACGAAGAGTATATGTTGTTGTATTGTTTCTTAACCTTTGTAGGCTCGAAAGTAGGGTTTTCAACAGTGTACGAGGGTATTTCTGTCATTTTGAGTGAGAGTTCTTGATGAGTAGTTGTGCATTGGAGTTTGAAGGGTGTAGAGTGTAGTATGTTTAATCTTCAGGGTTCATGGTCGTAGCTCTTTATATATTGTGAATTTTGTGACAATGAATCTGAATTATTGAGCTCATCATGAATTTTCTATTCTACCATTGGCACCTACTAAATATTGCTTGTAGATTTTGCCACGATTCGCGACTTTGTCGTGACATGGTAATGTAACTTTGAGTTACGTGGGAATAATGCCCAATTATGTATTAGTCAATAGGTAATTTATTTATTTATTTTTTTTATTCAAAATATAAATTACATTTTTCTATGTGTATGAAGATAGGTACAAAAATTAGAATCTTGCGGCATTAGGTGATGATATAAGCAAATCGGGAAAACATTTCAGGTGGTGTTGGCTTGGTGCAACACGTCTTCATGTACCAACAACACAAATCTGTAATTCTTTCCTTATATTTATACATTACATTAGGTACCTTTGAGATGTAATATAAGAAAAATTGTTCCACGTTTTGACAGCACAACAAAGTAACGTATGTACGATAACTTTTCCTCCACGTATCTATAGAAAGTGAAATTTTTGGGTGCTTCACCTAATGATTCAAAATTTACAAATATACAATAACGTTTGAAGATTTAATCAAAACGAGTTATCTGTGTTTATTCATTTCTTAAATTAGCTGGAATGAAAGGAACTAGTCGTAAGTCTTTTTTTTTTTTAATTCTTTCAAAGCAGTCATTTTCCACGCATGAATTATTGTCGACAGATCATTCTCTTTTAGTCAACAGATAAATTATATAGACATTGAAACGGAAAATTTAGACAGCTGTGTAATATTCAAGACATATACATAATACATATTACATGTAATCTCACATCGACTATGTTATACATCTTGTTGGTTAAGCTACAACGTGGCACTGCTATGAAGTTCTTTCTCCAAAAAAAAAAAACTATGAAGTTCATGTGAGTACACACGTTGGCGACTGATCATGATTTCATCTAGGGCTGGGACTTATATCCGGGATCCGCTATCCGATCCGGGATCCGATCCGCTCCAAAAAAATGGATATTCGGGGGGTTCGGATCCGGATCCGGATAGTGATTTCACGGATCTAGCGAATCCGGATCCAAATCCGGATAGTGAAAATTTCAGTCCGGATATCCGGATCCAGATCCGGGCCCACTAAATATTTAAAAAATATTTAAAATATGATTATATTTATAAAGGTATATTATATATTAAATATAACTAATATTTAATTTTGTTAATAAATTCTATTATTTTAATTTAAAAATTTTGAAAGTACTAATTTTTAATAAAATAAATAAATACTGAATTTTGAATTTTTTTTTTTATTTTTTTTAAAAATAAACCGGATCCGGATATCCGCGGGTATCCGAGTTTTAGTCCGGATATCCGGACCCCGGATATCCGGATGGCCCGAATCCGGATCCGGATAGTAATTTTACGGATCCGCCGAATCCGAATCCGGATCCATATATCCTGAAATACCCCGGATATCTGATTCGTTCCACCCCTTTCATCGTACAAGTGTAGATCTTCTGACTTATGTTAACCTGTGGCGATTATTAATTCTTGCACTTTTATTATGATTTCTCCATTTTAAGCATCATGTTATTTTGTTCTTCAGGCTCTTTTGCTTGATTATTCGCAACACACTCATTGAGTGGTACATATATATATTCCACGTAGTAATATATACAAATCTAAAAATGGACAGAACTCATATGTAATCGAAGATTTGAACACTCTAAGGATTGAGGACCTATATTTAAAGTAGCCTCAAACACAATTATAATTTCTAGTCCATTAACTTAATTAGATCAAACGAAAGGGTAAGAGTCAAACCAAAATCACATAAGCAAAAATGGTTTTCGTCCTTACTGTTCTCTCACTAATTGCGTAAATTGGATATTATGAACTTTATACACCATTTTATATAAGCCCCAAATTATCCAAAAACATGGCTCATTTTCTGAAGCGTCACTTAATACTCTCCGGTTAGAGTCGGTATTGAAATTTTGGAGACCATAAACGATCTACTAAAGGTTTTAATAAAAGTTTTTCTTATATAAATTTTGAGATTTATTTCTATGTAATTTTTTTTAAAAAAATTGGGAGCCATGTACCAATATTTGATTACCTATGTCTATGACCGCCATGTCTCTAATATTAATACTTTTTGAGATCATTTGAAAACTGAAATTTTTTTTTTTGGTCAAATAAAAAAAAAATAGTTTTCAAATGATCTAAAAAAATATTAATATTGGAGACATGGCCGGTCATAGGCATAGGTAATTATAAACATTGTCCAACCTACTGGTAATTATATAACAATTGAAAATGCTAATAGTATCATGAATGACCAACAGTTTCAATCACATATCGCAATTGTCCCTCATGGCTCAAAGTTCTAATGGACCCCCAAACTAGTTTGAGATGAAGCAAGCTTCTTATCGCTAGCATTTTTGAACATTTCATCCCGATATATGATGTGCTTTCCCAATCTGTTTTGGACTCCGTAGTTGAGTCTTTGGTTTTGGCTACCTATTGGTCCTTCTCTATGTAAATGTGGATGTTTATTCTAGAAATGAAAGTTTAGGCGTATCAAATCAAATGCTACATTTAATAAATCAAACACGAATTTGGAAAAAAATGTATATAATTTACAATTTATTTATTAGTACAATCAATAAACAAAACCCTGAAACATGTATTCGTCTTTATTTATTATTACAATCAATTAACACGAATTTTGTTTGTTTCAAGTTTAGTTTGTAGATTTTCTCAACGGTCAATCGTTATATTATACTATATGTTTCCGTGGTTTTAAATGAGTCATGAACTTTCAAGAAATTTATACCATTTCGATCTACTAATTAGGTTTCATGTTTCCTAGTTTTATGTGGTTTAAATTTGACAATGATTCTTTACATTGTACAGTTATGGCAAAACTGAAACTTCAAAACTCTCAAACTAACCAAAGGTCTTTATAATCCGTCAAAACACACAGGAAAGCAAATCATATAAACAGAAAAAATGTGCTAACTTAATGTCAAATATGAGAAAAGCTGAAACCATATAAAAAGATTTATCGGTGGTAAGGACAAGAAGCCTGAATCCGAACATTCCGTTTCTGAAGAAAACTACGAAGCGATCTCTTCATGGAGGCCTTTTGATGATGAAACCGGTTCAAGTTGTTTGGGATTATTGAAGGATCCGAGCCGTCTGAACTTCTCAGTGATAATGATCTCTCTTCCATATCTTTACTCGCTAGTGATAGTATAGCTTTTACCTGTATAGATTAAAAAAACATGTTAATAAATTTGTATTATAATCAGATACTATGGATGGATATAAATGTATGTATTAGTATACAATACCTGTAGATGGGTAAGATCTGAAGAAACACATATGTGACCGTTGTAGAAAATGGTTAATATCTGAGATTCTTTCTTTGGTTGTGAAGTTTCAGAGCTGCTTGAGTCATAAGGAGGAAGAAGGCGAAGTTCCAAGTCGCAAGTACTTTGCATCTCCATCTATTAATTTGTGAGTAAAGGCTTCTGAAGTTTTTGAATGATGATGATGATGATGTTTGAGTTAGTCGACTGCTTTATATATATATATGAATGTGTGTGTATCACGTGTTGTATATGTGTCGTGGTCGAAGAGAGAGAGAAGAATCATGAAAGTCCGACACAAAAAGCTGGAAACATAACGGCGAGATTTGGACAGAGCACAACAGCTTCACATCTCTTTTCTCTCCCTCCGGGATTTATACGCACGTGTAAAATGTTTTGTATGTGTTTTACTTTAGTTTATTTGTTTTATATTCTTCTTTTAGAGGCAATATTCTCCTTTTCTTTCTGTTAAAGTCAATTACAGCAAATCTTCTTGTAATCTTTTTTGCTAAGATCAAATTAATTTTCATTTTTTGTAAGTTAAATGTGTTTTAATAAATAACTTAATCTAAAATTCTAGTGGGGGTTGCTTTGAGAAGAATATAAGATACATAATTTGATTCATTCCTTGAACAATGGTTTTAATACTTTTAAATCGTTTGCATTTCATTTTCTGTTAGTATTTTTAATCACCGGTGTCATGTTATACATATGTTTTTAGTAATATTTCTATATAATATTCAATACTAAATACTTGTTCTTTATACAAATGTCATTATCTCATTCGGATGGAGCGGGTTTCCATCAAACTATTTAATAGTAGTTTTAGTGATGTGAAATGAACACTAAGTGTGTGTGTGCTCCACTATAAAGATAGTCATCCGATACTCCTGATGTGTAGTCATGTGAGAGTCTAGGATGCTCGTCATTTCTGTTAGAGATTCTATTGCACGTCGAAGCGAGTTAAACCGAAAATATACCTTAATCTGGTTCAGTGATGAACACTATTTGATATAATGAGGAAAGAGTCGGATATAAAATCACAGTCAACCTCTAATCACCATTCAAATTTCCTTCTAATTGATTCATCGAAGTTCACTCTCTAAAATGTTTTATTATCTCTCTAGAATCATTATTCTTATTTCTTGAATTGTATTATCCTCTTTGTAATATATTTTATTTAAAGACAATTAAAAGATATATTGTGAACAGTCACATATATTAAAATATATATATATATTTAATAAAGAAACACATACTAGATCACGACCCGCGCGGATGCGCATGTTTTATTTTTGATTTAACAAATTATATACATATTTTATGTTGTTTAGTTTTATATACTTTTGAATTTGTCTGTACTTATTTTATGTGACTAAACAACATTATTAAAATTATATTTTGTATTAAAGTATATATGAATTTAAAAATTTTAAAAAATAATTTACACTGATTATCCGAATTCAAACCTGCAAAGATCCGAAATGAAGTCGAACCGAACTTGTAAATATGTAAATGAAGATGAAAATTTTAACTCTAAAAACTCGAAACTTAAATAGATTCGAACGGAACCCGAATGGCTCCTGGATGCCACCCATGGTTTAGAGTTTGTCGTACAATGAATATGAACAATGAAAGTGTAAAGTTGGTCAATTTCATAGTATTGAATTTAATAGTATTGATATTGTTAGTATCGATAGAAGTTTTAATATATGTAGACTAACAAATTGTCTGCACACGACTGACATAAGTGAACAATATATAATATAGTTGGTTTGATAACAAAAATAGAACATATTTATAGATTAATATATTGGTTGAATGATATAATGGATACATATTTGAAATTGGAAATATTAGATGAGATCTAAAAGAAAATGATTTTGGTTGTTAATAAAATATTATTTGAAGAAATATTTTATTAAATGTTAAGTTAAAAATTAAGATAGATAAATAATAGGAGGTCCAACTTTAAAATTCACCTAAGTTGTAATGTTTGTGTTTTGATAATATAAATGATGATTGTGGATACATAATTGTAGTATGTAATTTTGTTGATGATGAACTTGAATATGAATGTATAATGTATAAATGGTTGGCAAGTATGTAGTATTAGTTATAATGGTCCTACTTTAGATGAATGTAAAATCGTAGTATGTAGGTTTCAAATACACATGATATAGTTGAAAATATATTATATCCGTCCGATGTTAATTATAAAGGCCAATATAGAAGTTAATGGTAATATGCGATTTTTAAGGAGCATTATAACAGTTTATATTGTTACACAGAATTTTTATATTTGTTAGAATTATCAGTAAATGGTCCTACTTAGACTAGCTAATGGTAGATAAAAATAGTGTCTTTATTTTAATATAGTAGATATTCAATAAAGAGTTGTAAAGTTCATGTATGGAATTTAACCTATAACTATTGGTTAACCAAACCGGTTTAGTATTATCTAATCATGGACGCAAATTGATCATATACTACTGATTTCTCCAACACAATATAAATATTTTCTTATATATTCCATAGGCTGATCTGGCTGTCATACAATTAGTACTACTATAGGGTCTCCTAATCCTCACGGCCATTTAGCATATTAAGTCTCACTTATCACTTGACTACAATCAGGAGGATCAAACAATAGCTCACTGAGTCAGCCCTCCAAACCATGATTTCTTCTTGTTTTTGGATCGTTTGTCAAAAAATCCATATAACTATAGTCGTGATAAACCAATTCAAGTAGTTGGAGAGAATTTACTTGATCATTTGACCTTGCATATACGCATATATCAAAATGTAAACGGATATATGCAAACTAATATATGCTAGCGGATATAAAATAACTAATTCACACGTGACTAACTTTACATGTTTGGCCAGTATCCATTATGCACTATATATGCCATCATTTAACTAAATAATTGTGATCACGTTAAACTTTTATAAGATTATATAAGCAACTAGCAAGTCATTCGGCCCATCGTATTGGGATGTCACATACAAAGAAAGTCTAAACAACGTGGGAAACGCCAATTAGCGATGATTAATTTTCAAAATAAAATCATAATTACAATATCATGCTATTGAACCGAAATGACTGATGAGCTAACTAGGATGACTTACGTCACATTTAAAGCTGATTACCTATGCTTTTATAATGTTCAGACCCTGTGAACTTATCACTATCCTCACGTATTCATGGAAGAGGTACTGATGAATCACAAGTAGATCACACTCAGTAAAAAAAAAAAAAATTCCATCTAATAAAGTATGTAATCCAGGCTGCTAAGATGCTGGTGAACAAAGGGTATGATCCACAGGTAATCATAGACATTGATTAGGCCACTGAAGTGTTGATCCCTACACGATCAAATATTTTAGTATAATGGTTTGATTAAGAAATTATCAATGATTTTTATACTGAAATCTAGAGTTCAATCCTAAAAATATAATAACATTAACAATTGTATAAATTTATATAAAATAGCTTATAGAAAACTGATGTGAAACCATCAAACATAAATGTTCATAAAAACGATCAAACAATTAAAATAGTGCTTACAGAATGTTATGCATAAATCAAATATAAAATGGTTAGTTATACTATACAGTTGTTATTATTTTAATAATACAATAAACTAGGTGTTTTTCCATACATGCGGGCATAATTTTCTAACGAATTCTTATTATTTTATGTTTTATTAATTAAAAAACAAAAAAGTAATGATCTACGCTTTTAAAAATAATTAGAAATGACAACACCTACATAGCATAGTATTTAAAAATATTTATATTTATACAAATTTTGTGTTTGATTTATATTTAATTATAATTTGTATATCTTAATTATTTTGTTTCTGTAATAGAAAAATATATTTTCAAGATAATAATATAATATATATAAGAAGTATCTTATTTTCTAAAAATATAATATTATTAATAAAATTACTTTTATTTTATTATAAAGTATATATGAAATTATTAAAAACATAACAAAGACGTAAAATTACCTAAATCATGGAAAAGTTATAAATCAGCAAATTCACATAAATTTTATAATAAAAAATATACCTTCAAGATAATAATACATACAATACAATACGTAAGATTTATCTTGTTTTATATAATTATGATATTATTAATATAAATTATTTTTTACTATATAATAAATTAGATATGAAAATATTAAAACAAGATAAATAAGCAAAATTACCTAAATTATGGCCAAGTTGACAAATCAGCATTGTTTGATTTATATTTAATTATAACTTTATATCTTAATTTTTATAATTAAAATATTTTTCAAGACAACAATATAAAACATAATAATTATCTTATTTCTTAAAAAAATATAATATTATTAATATAAATTAATTTTTATTATATAATAAATTAAATATGAGTTTATTAAAAATATGAAAATAAGAAAAATTACCTAAAATCATATAGAAGTTGACAACTAAGTAAACTCACTTCTCAAATAATAGTATAGATAAGTATGTGAAATATTTGTTTTAAAAGATTTTGATTTTATGAAAAAAATTGACATATTTGCAAATTTTTTATAGTAACAAATATTGTTATACATTACAGTCGATTTGTCATTTTTGTTTGTTTGTTTTTGGTGGTCAAATTGTCATTTCATTAAGGAAATTGATTTTTCATTATTTAGGAATGTGGTTAATTGACAAAAGCCCAATTGCATAAACTGTAATACTAAAGTTGAAATAAGAGTTACAAAAAATATTTATACTCTAATATAAGATTATCATTGTAATTTTGAAAGATATTACCTCTTGATAATAAGGTGATTTGGAAATAAATATTAACAAAAGAAAGAAAGTATAATAAAATATATTAATAATTAAATTAATTATTTACAATTATCATTGTAATTAATCTTTTTAATAGTTAATGTGAGCATGACACGTTGAAAACTAACTTTTTAAATAATATTACAGAGATTTAGTTTTATTGCATTAATCATATTCATATTAAGACTAAATAAGTATAGCAGATTGACGAATATTTTTATTTAAATGATGATATTTATATTTTCTTAAATTAGTTTATAAATAATAATATAATACTATTATGTAAATCTATAATATTATTTGTGAAGTGATTTTGCGCAACAGAGCTCCCACGTTAAAATTTAGAGTGGTTAATATC